TTAGTAATTCAACGTTTGATTGAATAACTTTCGTTGTCATCTAATCCCTCACATTAACGAACAAATTATAGTGATTCCAATTCATTTTGAAAGCTTTCTCTGTACCATCTGCTTTGGGAGCAAGTTAATTCGAAAATATTTTGAAGCAACGAAGCTGAGACTTTTTTTAGGAACATTAAACATTGTTCAACCCTGCATCACTTTTTACCCCATCTAAAACCAGTGTCTTCCTTTTAATTTATCCCCGACTTAGTACCAGTTCGAATTTTTCTTGCTTCTCCCCATTCAGCCCATCGTTGGAATAAAAACTAATCTCATCGTCAGCAGTGAATAGTAAAACAAATTCCCTTCGTAATATGTAAAAAAACTCAACTTTTTTCCCTGCTGTAGTGGATACAAAAAGCCATTTTTTGCAAAGTAAAAGTCCCCAAAATTCTGTGGATAGCATGAAAATGCCGCTCATGCATGCACCTTTTTATATGTTGAAATAAGACCTGTGTTCTAATTTTAGACACGCCATATTTGAAAAGCAAATTAGCAGAGGTAAGATGTGGCAAACTGAAGCAAGAAGGGTAAAGCTCTTAAACAAATGCATGAGAGTACTTCCCATCCACACTAATCTAGAATTCTCTCGATGTATGAGCGGAGAACCTCCTAGCCATTGAGCGGTTAATTAATTGAAGTGAGAAAACCTCTCTGAAAATATAGTTCTTCTTAGGCATTTCTTTAAATCAGTCTATATTGTCAATAAAATGAGCATTTTATTACTTGGTTGTAATTTCAAAAAGAACGTATTATGCCGCTGTAATTATTGTAAACTTGCAAATAAAAAATTAAACATCGGTCACTGTTTTTTCACTGCCACCTGTCAAGACCACATCCGTTCAAGAATTGCCACTAACTCGCCTGACTTTCGCGAGCATTCATGCATAGATCGCCTTGATAACTGATTTACTTCCCATACAATGCGCTTACATATCCAATTGATTCTCATATTTAAATGATTCTCTGTGAGTAAAAAGAATAACAGTGCGAGCAACAATCTGAGGAATATACGCTCAGAATACGAAGCCAATTAAACGCAAGAAGGAAGCAATGCTTGCATGAAGCACTGGAGACTATGTATATGTAATATGTTTAAACCTGACCAGAGAGTACTTGCGTTCTGCGTAATCTTATCCTGCTCCGCAATTCCTGAAAATGCATCAGCACACCGTGATTAAAGGAATGTCAAACAGCTAAGAATGCAAGCACCATCCCATTCATCCCCTTCACGGTGAAGGCATGCAGAAGCCAACGCTCCATTCACAGCGGTGTTCTGCAGGGCACCCGATCGCTATAATTTCTTCTAGGTAGCAGCAATTATCTCTGTTATAAATGAAAAAAAAAAACATGTATGAGGGTCCCAAAATACAAATTTTCTTCACAAAATACAACTTTTCGCGGCGACCGCACCATGCACCCTTACACCACCACCATGAAAGGTGCCGAACAAATAGATCGGGAATCAATGTTTTGATCACTTGGTCTTCTTGATGCTTCGAAATCTTAATAATTTGCTTAGCGAACATATTTGCCCATAATCTTTGTTTCAGAGGCCATTTCAATTAATTTAAAATCTGAAGCCGATGCTGTGAATGAGTTTTGTTCCATTATTGCGGTTTTCTTCCAATAGTAGGAACAATCTGAGGGAATGAAGGACAGGATTTCTCCCCTCAGTGCCATGACAAATAAAGTGGCTCGTTAAAAATAATGCCACACGAGATGCCTCTCTTGTCTTTGTTTGTGCCTCGTCTGGTGGTTCGTGTTTGTATTTAATCATCTCGTTCTGTATCGTAAGTAGCGTCGTTTATGGTATAGTAAGACGTGGGTGGTGATGTTACTCCAGTGTTGGATTGGATGCCGCATCGTCTTTCAATAAACGAGGGTCCGGCCAGACACAATGTTCCTGAAAGCTTTGGCTCTTCTGATGGCTATTGGTGCTGTCGTTTAGCCTTGTAAAACGATCCTTACAATTGCTCTGCTTACTGCATTACGATCGACGGCCTCCGTATACCGACCTGCCATGCATATTCTGCTACTGCCAGGAATATGTTAGTCGCTACTGCCAGGAATATATTTTTCTCTATATATACAGCTCCTGTCAGGAATATAATAGAGTTTAGGACGCATGATCATTAAGCTTCGCTAATCTCATGTCTTACTTCAAACTATTAAAATTGGCATTAAAATTATCATATGTCATGTATATTGATCAGATTTTCAATCTATTATCTACAAATTTGTGCAATTCTTGAATGACAATATTCGGAAGGCCAGTATTCGAAATATCAATTTAATCAGCTACCCTAAACTCCTTCGCGTAGCAGAAATCCTGACATTAGTCGAGGTCCTACTGTCAGGAAGTCCTGCACAAACAATCAAACAAAATTGGGTCCTATTACGTCTGTCATTATCAATTGAGTGCCTCGTCTGGAGCTCCGCTCGCGTATTTCTTTACACTGAAGTAACAAAAGCAACTCACCATCTCGTGATACGTCCATGCCGCGTCCACCCTCCTACCCGAGAGGTAAGTGAGCGTCTGAATATTCATCCAGCGTCGCTAAATATTGCGTATTTTACGGACAACCCTCGAAAGCGAAGGCGAGTTGCGCGTGTGACTAGAAGTTACAATGTCGAGGAGAGTCGAGTCACAGAATGCATTGAAACGAATTCAAAACATCAAGATAAAAGGTCGCTAATGAAAATAAAGCCTGCCTTAGATATAAATTTCAGACCTTGAACATAAGAGTTAATATAGCTGGTTTTCATTTCATTACAGTGCATTAAAGAAGCTTGCTTCCTTTAAATGAGTTTCGAAGCAATAATTTACAATCAGATCTTCTCAATAGAGTACCACTTTGAGTACCCGAAATTCTCTCAAATTATAACCACTCGTAATCACCGGACTTCCTACTTCTGTCGCGGCCTTCACTCCACTTTCTCGAGGAGTGAGAAGTGCATGTTTGAGTGGCGTCCTGCGCGTCCATTGTTGTCGCATGCCGCGCGTTCCAGAGCAGAGAGCGGCCAGACCTGCACTGTCCTCCAGCCGCCGTGGTCGCCATGCAAGCATGAAAATATTGTTGGAAGTAACTAGAGGCAGCAATTATCTGATATTGAAGATAAAACAAACATGCTACCACATTGAAGTTCTGACCATAGAGGGATCAATGATTGTTTAATGAAACTCCACAGCTTTCTACTACAAATTAATTCAACGGGAATATTGAAATATCGATTTGTATAGCTAATCTTACTATTCGTAAGGTAAACGTCTTCACGACAACATTATTTATTACAATGGACATCTCGTATTAACACAGCTCGCTCCCTAGGTTGTTGAGTGAAGTGAGCAGCAGTGTGATTTACCTAACAACTTTCGACAAGATTTCTTTGGTATTTTAGTGTGTGTAGAGCTTTTCCGTCCTAAAGAGAATTTAGGTTAAATTTATTTGTTTTTGTCTTCTATCGATAATATGTCCGTAAATATTCAAAGAATAAAATTAGCGTGACGCAAACTCATAACAACAATAGTATTTTTCACACACACACACTCACACACACATGCGCTGTATGCAAGAATCTAAATAAAACAGATGCATGCTTTCCACTCCTCCCTGCTGAATGCCTTTCAGTTTCTCGTTTCGGCCATGAGTTCAGATTTGGCATCGCGGAAAAATGCTGCGTAAAATGCCTCGTCATTCGCCGCGGTCACTTGCCTTCTAACGAGAAGATTTGTCTTGCAGGCTTAATTGAGCAAATCACGCGGCCTCGAGGGTACAATTCAATTATTGATGATACTCAGAGTGATTGAGTGAAGCCCATAAGAGCGGACGGCACAAACTTCACAGGTAATTTCACGCGTTCGGATGCGCTGTAAAACCTGATCTCGATGTCGCGTCATCGCGCCTCATGCTGTCTTAATGTGGTAGGTGGATGGTCTGGATGAAGAAGTTACTTGAAAAATGTTTTGATCGATGCGGATTGTTCATCTAAAAATGATGGATCTTGTTCTAAGAAGTACGCATATTTCTCTAAATAACGAATTAAATAATGAATTAAATTCTCTAAATAATTGTTTCCATATGCGCCAAAAGTGTTATCCTCAGTCGGACTTTTTCATTGCAGACGATCGGCTTTTCGTAGTCAATAATTCAATATTTAGTGAACATGAATTTCACTCTTTTAAATACGAATTTTATGAAGCTTGAAATGCTTGCTAAATCCTTAGCAGGACATCGTGAGCGAGGGCTTAGTTGTCCATGAAAATAGATACCGTGACGTGCGCTGGATGACTCTAATTCCTATTCCGAACCTCACAAAGTAAATTCCAAATGATTAATTCCATGGTGCCAGGCAACTTTCTAAGGAATCTTCTCACAGAGGGAGTCTGTCCAGCAACATCGCGGCTCCGTACAGCTGCTGTAACTTCGTAGTAACGGCCTTGACGCTCGTTGCACGCCATCGCTCCTTAGAGTGCATTCTACGCTGCCCTTTTGCAACCTTCCATCACTTTAATGAGCCTTCATCACTGTTCATTAGATTCAATGGAAATCACACATGCACAGGGCATCGTGATGAACGGTGGCTTCAAGAGAGTGAAAGAGAAATATACCGGCTCAGCCATGAGTTTACGTGAGATCAAGCGTGCCTCCTTGATTCTGAAGTTGACAGTCTTGTTTTTTTATGACTCCGCTGTTCCATCAACCTGAAGACAGAAATGAATAATACTACGTAAGCCTTAAAATAGCGAATGTTGTTATCTGCATTAGCAACAAACTTCCACTGAGATAGCTGGCACCTCTCAGTGAGTCTTCCTCTCAGTGATCTTATGATTAGCCAAATATGTAATCCTAGTAGAAATTATTTTTTCATATACAGTGCATTTCAGTGTATTTCCGAGTCTTTTTGATGAAAATAATAATAAACAAAAAATAACGTAACCGTTTCTTCCTTTCCAGCGTTGCCTCGAAATGTGCGGAACGACGTGATGCAAATGGATGAGAACGACAGAAATATCAGCGGCGCTCGCAGCCCCAATGAATATAATAAACTACACTCTGCTTCCAACAGAGGCCCAAACACCAAAAAGAAGAGACAGTCTCCTATGGCGGCAAAATTGAAATCCGGTCCGATTGACCCGTATAACAAAAACAGTCAAAACAGGAACTCATACGGCACTCATCATTATGCACAACAACATGGCAATAGCTATAACTATAACAACAAGTTTTCTTATAACGTCAAACGTGAGGAACAGTTCTATGCCAGTGGCGTCAACAGAGCTGCTGAGAGCCTCAAAGCCGTTCCAACAGACGTCTTGGATCATCGCTACAACGATGTAACTGACGCCACGATTGCATACAACAGCAACAGTAACAACAGATCCGTGCTGTCTCCGTCTGACGTCATCATTCCTGACGTATCGACGTCTACTTCTCGCAGTCCCAGCCTCAGCACCTACACCGATGGACCTCTCGAGCGACCGGACGAACCGTCGCGTGTGGAAGATGATGGTACGTATTATTCATCAGGCATGCAATATTAGTGTCATAGCCTCAAAACTGTTTATGAATCCGAGGTTTGAACTTTGCCGCAGTATTCCATAGCATTCTCGCTAGAAAACATAGAGCCTTTATTTTTTTAATGAATACCCAAATGTACGTTGTTGTGCGTTTAAGACGTCGATGACTTTTTATTGTAGGATCAACTCACGGCTAAATGAAAGAAAATTTGTCAAACAATCACAAACCTTTCTAGTCGAGCCTCTTCTGAAATTTATTTCCCAATGTTACGACAGAAGAAGACCGACGTCGACGCAAGCGGCCGCGTCGAAAAGACAAGAAGAATCGACGTACGTCGGATAACCGGAAAGACAAGAAAGTTTCATCTTCCCTCGTTCCCTTTCCGTTCCCTGTCGTGCCACGAGGTAGAGTGTTTTCCCTCATTTGCGTACACGTTTTTTGCACAGATAATGTAAACTTCACCGTTCAAATTTCTTCCCACTATACCTATAAACTGTGATTGGTATGTTGATATTGAGGTAGATGAGTGTGACATGCAGGATAAATAATGGCATGAAATATGTCAACTTAACAAATAATTAGTGAATGAAATTTACTAGAATTAGAATGAAAATAATGTTTCTAAAATTTTTATTTTGAAGAATGATTGACTTATAATTAGTGGACATGTTCATCAGGCACGAGGGAGTCTGCGTTTGTGCACGCCATCGCGTCGGCGGGCGTCGCGCACGCCATCACGCTGCGGTGCTCGTCAGGGGCGCTCGACGACTGCGGGTGCGACCACTCTGTCAAGGGACAGACCGCCGAGGGCTTCCAGTGGTCGGGCTGTTCCCACAACATCGCTTACGGAGTGTCGCTCAGCAAGCGGTGAGTCACGGCTCTGCAACGCAGAGCCGTTATATTTAATATAACCCGTGAAATGCTGGACGAGTGTGTTAAATATTTAAACTAAGCAAAATTCTCGACTTACACAGTTTAGCTAATAATACTCGTTTATATTATGTATCAGTTTTACCGAGTAGTGTGGAAAAAATCTATAGCGCCCATCAGCCTGTTCCCTTCAGGCAAATGGCGTTGAAACAATGTTCATCGTGACTTGATTCAGATGAAACAACTTTTAATCGAATTTATTTCTACGTCATATGGCATGTGGTTATTGCGCTGCCTCGGGACGTAACCAGAGCTGCTGGTAGAGGCAGGACGTTAACAGAGTTGCTGGTAGAGGCGGGACGTAAACAGAGTTGCTGGTAGAGGCGGGACGTAAACAGAGTTGCTGGTAGATGCGTAACGTTAACAGAGTTGCTGGTAGAGGCGGGACGTAAACAGAGTTGCTGGTAGAGGCGGGACGTAAACAGAGTTGCTGGTAGAGGCAGGACGTAAACAGAGTTGCTGGTAGAGGCGGGACATAAACAGAGTTGCTGGTAGAGGCGGGACGTAAACAGAGTTGCTGGAAGAGGCAGGACGTAAACAGAAGACGTAAACAGAGTTGCTGGTAGAGGCGGGACGTAAACAGCTTCCTTGACGTAACCCCATAAGAAATAGTCTCATGGGGTGAGATCAGATGATCTCGGTGGCCAGAAGTGTAGAGCCAGATATCTTACTTTCCTAAGCGTCCTACCCAACGCTCAGGAGGTGCCTGATCCAAAAAGTTTTAGACATCATGATGCCAATGAATAAGTTAAAGATGCAGTTGTATGTTAAAAAGAATTGAATCGTTTTTTTCCGTTGGTGTATAAATAATTCGTTTTTAATTTGCACTAAAATAAATACGAATTTATTAAATTGGGTCCATCATTAAGAATAAAACCTATATAACATATCGCTAAATAAGCCTCAGTGACATTCATGGAACCGAACACTTCACCTTTCCTGATTTTGATTAGCATTCTTCATCACTCATTGTTTGGCTTTGAAGAATACCGTATGTGCTATTTGACCTTCATTTTTGTCTGTATGAACTTAAACATATGCGTGTTATAATAAAATACTAGCATAAATATCGAAATTTTTCGAAATTTAAAAATCATTCACGAACCAATGAGGCTGAAGCATTCCTATATAGCCGCCAGAAATAAGCCCACAATCGTCGCCATAATCTTATGCCGATATAAATAACCCTAATGAATATTCGTTGTTGCTCGCGAGCGCCTCTCGCATTTGATGCGATATCCTCTTAAGTCGCACCTCAAAGTGACACTCAAGCTCTGAGACAAGCGGCGACGGCCTGTCTCTCCCGCTCAATTATATCCACTGGACCGAGAGCGACGCATCACCGCCGCATTAAGCGCTCTGGCAACGCCACGACAGATCTTGAGTGGCGCGATCATCCGCAAGATTTAGGAAGAACCATTTGCTAATTTGACGGAGGGAAATTCTCTGTGTACATTTGCACGAATATCGTAATTTTTTTACTGCCTAGTGACGTATTAAGTTGGTTAAAATGATGAGAGTATATAGTTTTTTATAGGCGTGTAGTGTTTATAGTAGTGAGAGTATATCGTTTTTTTCTGAAAATAAAATTTTATTCCCATTAATAGTTTCAACTTAGATTTATTGGAAAGCAGTGCAACCGAATCTGTGCATATAACTCTGCGGTATGACTTGTTTGATTTAGACTAAATGTTTCAGCGTCACACCTCATCATTCGTGCTGCCGGTTAATTGTGTAAACATAATTGATAGGGGAAAGCAGGTGCAAAGGACATGAGGGACAGTAGGATAAGAAGACAATTATTTAATATATTAAAGGGTAACATGAAAGACAGTTTAGGTAGTAATGGCACAGAAATCAGTTAATTGATTGAGACGGTAGATAGAGGTCTTGTAACTTTAATTATATAAAATAACTGCCGTGCCCTACTGGCCCACACGTACCATTGTACTATTTTTCCCCTACTATAATATTTCCCAATGTCTTCTTTGTTCATCAACAAATTTGTTTTACTGTAGGAACAAATATACTAGAAATGTGAAGTTTGATGTACACGATTTGTATAATTGAAAAAAGATTGTAAACTAACGAAACGCGGTTAATTTCGTTTTTACGGCCTCAGTAAAAGCTCTCAGCGCAATTAGAGTTCTAGTTTTTGCTCCATGATGACATGAAGGTTTGCCGGAGCTGTCACTGCTCCTGACGCTTCGTATAAGAAACACACGCAACAGTACGGCAAAAGCTCCACTAAGAAATTTCCCACCAAACCCTTATAAAAGAACTCGTCGCTGATTTCGAGGCCACAAAAACGATGTTCGGTGCCTGATGTCTGAGCTCACTGCTCTGCTGGAAATTCTTGGCTGGTTCTAAGAAAGCCTTCGTACGTAAAAAAATGGCTGTAGCTGGACCGTACGACGATTAGCACTAAATGTTGTGTGCCTCTACAATAAATTAAATAATATGCTTTTAGTGGCACGCGGGATAATAATTAAGAAAGCTTCATCATTGGGATAAATCTATTACTTGCAGTCATTACACGTATAACAATGATTCATGCTCGCTTCCATGAAGCAGTTTCTATAACTTTCTTTTTATTTTTCTAGAAACTTCTAGATTTTCTAAAGTCGTTTTAATAACCGTAAGTTGGCACACGTCTTTAAAGGTTTTATGAAAATAGTTATCATTTTTAGAAATTTTATTACATTTAAAATCACAAGAAGCCATGATCTGCAGACATATTAAACCTTATATTTGTTGTAATGTCTTGCTAAGTGGATGACCAGTGCCTCTTGTTGGCTTTCTCTCTGGAATCTTTCGTTATTATTTGAACTTACCAACAGATATAATCTTTGAATGTTAAGATTTAAAATTTCTTACTGATCAAGCTGCCGTATTAACATGTTAATTTTTCGAAACTAAAGTTTGATCGGCTTGTGGATCGCATTTACTCAATGACCTCATGCCTGGCTACTTAACGCCATGTCAACCAACGATAGTGTACCATATATGACCATGCTGCTTTTGAATGCTTAATTATTACTCAAGAAAAGTGCATCCACATTTTCAGTTCTTAAATATAATATAATTATGACTAATATATTATATGCTTGTATGTAGAGAACCACAGCCGCTGCAGAGATCGCCCCTATTAACGTTCCCTGCAGCAACAGCCGTATATCGGCGTTATAGAAGCTGCAACAGCAGCAACAGCTGTAATAGCCAAAGTCGTAAAACGACCAAAAATTAGTAGTAACAGCAACGGAGGCAGCAAAAGCAACACTGGCAAAAGCAGTGATAGTAGTAATAGAAACATGTGTAGTAACAACAGCCATAGAGAAGCCGACGTGAAATGCACTAAGAAAACAGCTCAGTTACAGCAGTAGCAGCAAAAGCATCAGTAAAAAAGCAGCAACATCATCAGCAGTCGTAGAAGCATTAGCAACAGTAGGAAAAACAACAGCAATAGAACTACCTACAGCACCACCACAACCGGCACCATTATCAATACCACCAACTGCAGCACAAACACCACCACCACCACCAAGACCACCACCACCACAAAAAAAACACCACCACACCACCACCACCACCAGCAGCAGCAGGCAGGGGCTAGAGGGCGCGGCATGGAAGGCTCTCGAGCACGCGCTTATCTCGCCTGGAGGGGTGGGGGGTGAGGGGGGCCCGAGGAGGGAGGTGAGAGGGCAACGAGTGCACGGACTGGTGATGTGGACATGCAATCAAGAGAGGAGTGTGAATTTAATAAGGAGTAACCTCCAAGTATATAAAATTGTTAATTTCAGATTTGTGGATCCTCAATATCAAAATCCTTTATATATAAAGTGATTTTTTGCTTAATATTCGTTCAAACTCAAATTTTATTTTATTTTTTATATTTCTTATGTTCCCTTCGAGTGAACTTTTTTCTGTGTTATTTGATATATTCCCACTATTCACCATCATATATTAATTTTGTAAAGTGCATTTCTACATTTTCGAAAGCAGAATTCTCACTGTCGGTCTGAATCAATTTTACGAGGTTAGGTTCTGTATGGCTCCTGTATAAATGCCAAATATTGCTTGATTGTAAGCACAATTGCACATGTACACAATGAAAATATCGTGCCCATTTATTTTGTATGTATTCATCTACACACCTTCACCCTCACCCTCACCCTCACCCTCACCCTCACCCTCAACCCTCACCCTGACCCTCACCCTCTCCCTCACCCTGACCCTCACCCTCACCCTCACCCTGACCCCCACCCTCACCCTGACCCTGACCCCCTGCAGGTTCGTGGACGCGCGCGACAAGAAGAAGGTGCAGCGCGCACAGCAAGCCATGCGCCGTCAGCCGCGGTCCACAGGCAAGCGCAACCGCGTGGCCCGCGCGCTCATCAACCTACACAACAACGAGGCCGGGCGCCAGGTGAGAGCGTCTCTTGCATCGAGCAACCTGTCTGTCTCATTGATATCTGCGCATGCGACGTACATTACGGCCTTCAAAATAATTATTTAGTTCAAATTTAAATTGAAAAATATATCCTGGTAACAATTTATCTAATATTTTGCGTTTAAAATATGCCTGAGCGCTTAGATATGCATGCGGGCCGATGTATGGTGGAATCACGACATTGACTGTGCATATTTTGATACCTAAATTGGCTCATATTTCCAATACTCAACGCCGCGTGAAAGATTGACAGTTGACAGATGACAAAATTCCATTCAGATAAAGTCTATTGCATGACATGAATATTCAAATATACACGGTCAAGATATCAACAATTAACTACTGTTACCTCTTGGTACTGTAGTTTATACTTTGAGCGTTCACATAGATGAGCGGACGGTTTCGATAGATATTATTTTGTGATATGAAACTTGCTGCTTTTCACTGCCAACGAAAAGATTCCAAGTCAATTATAGGAGCCGGGAAGGGGAGGTGTGGGTGCTTGGGGATGTAAGTGCAGGAGAGTGAGGGCCTATAAAACCTTTTAAGTCGACCTGTAGGTGACACTCATGGCCCCTGCCTTAGTTGCGCGAGACCTGAAGGCTGAACTTTTCGAGATGAACTAACCCCCTGCGCTTGGAGTACGTTGAAGGTTCTTGGTGTTTCTCATAAGTCTATTATTAATATGAACCGATGAACATTGCGCTACGTCTTGCCAAAGCATATTCTATAGAAATGGGAAATTTTGTACCGTTCACTGATTATCGAACTCAGTAGTTCAACCAAATTCTGCCATTGATGCCGGACCAAAATTAGAGGTAGATTTTTCATCATCAATCTAATCGACTGATTCAATTTGAGTATTCTAATTTGTAATAAAGATATTTCAAATATTTATGATTTATTTGTGGGAGTTCTTCGTTCAATTATTCTTGGCGCAGTGCCAAAGGTAGTCGAATATTTGGTGCGGCTACCGTAGATTTTCTGGCGTTATTACGATGAAAAAAAACATTAAATTCGTTCTGTAATTTTTTTAGTAGCCAATAAACATCGATATTATCGGCAAAGGCTAAGTGTAAACGTGGCAATTGAGTGAATTGTTCAATGAGCATTTTTGCCCGCTTTCATTCAATAAAAAGCGATTAACTATCGCAGAAACTCTCTTCCAGCACAGTCATAATTTGATTCTCATCTGATCTGGCTCACATATCTTCCAATAAATACGAGCATTTCGTTAAAATATTTCAATAATCTCAAATTCAAGCGGGGATTTCATTCTTGCTTGTCACATTTAGAACAGTCATCCTTGATTTATTTAAATTCTAGAGAATTTATGCTGCGACTGGCAATCTAAATACTTGTATGTTTCCCATCACAGCTACTACAGCAGGACATGCGTGTTGGCTGCAAGTGTCATGGCGTCTCCGGCTCTTGTGAGCTCAAGACTTGCTGGCGGCAGATGCCCGCATTCAGAGAGGTATTTCACTCCAGTACGCATAAGAGAGACCAATAAAAATAAGCACTGGTACAGTACGATGTCATCAGACGGATCCGATAGAAATTATTTTTTATGATTGGACTTTGAAAAAGTGCAGTTTGACACCTCTTTTAAATATTTATGAATTGGACAGTATTGTTAATTTAACACCATGTTGATTTGATGAATTAATTATATGATCGGTAAAGGTGCTCGCAAAATATTATCAAAGGAAACTAATTCTAACTAAAATCCCTTTATTTTTAATTAAGCGAGAGCATAATTCAAAGTTGTCCGAAAACCCCCAAAAATAGTTGTACTCATTTTTAATCTAGCAAACGTCGATTTTTTAATCATACCAGCATCAGAAAATCCATTAAGGAAAACAATTCAATTACAGGTCGGCGAGCTACTGAAGGAGAAGTTCGATGGCGCCACGGAAGTGAAGCTGAAGACTGTCGCGGGTCGCCTGAAGCTGATCCCTAACAAGCAGCTCTTCAAGTCCTTGGCTGAGGATGACCTCGTCTTCGGGGCGTCGTCTCCCGAGTATTGCGACTTCGACCCTTCAGGAGGATCCCTCGGCACCCACGGCCGCGTCTGCAACAAGGTACTCCCACCGCACATTATTCATGCTATTACTTTGTTCTTGATTCTCTCAGTAGAAAATTTATGATGTATTTCGACAAAGGTATTCGCGAGACAAGTTTCTGACGGCGGTTTTTGATTCGCCACTGACGAGTTTGCAAGTTGACGAGGTGGAGTTTGATAAATTCAGCGCTTTGTTGTAGTGTCAATGCGAGACAAAAGATGTCTCCCTTCCAAAATTTTACTTTCTACTTCTTCCTCGATTTCGACCAGAATTTACTCAATTAACCACGAATTCCTAACCTGAACTCACTGCTTCAGTCGTGGTGATACTTGATAGCCCTAAGCAACGTCGCAAGAGCAACTTTCATTAGAAGTGTGCAGGAGCAACTTTCATTAAAAGTGTGCAGGAGCAACTTTCATTAGAAGTGTGCAGAAGCAACTTTCATTAGAAGTGTGCAGGAGCAACTTTCATTAGAAGTGCACGCACCCGTAGCTTCGTGACTGTGGCAAACAATTGATCGTGGCAAACGTGACTTTGATGACCTCAGTATCAAGCAACGTGTTTTTTTTTTATTCGAACCCGTGCATTTCGTGACACATCCGAGTCACATAGGCTCGGGAGCACACGAATGAATGTGTCCGCTTGATTCATGCTATACTCGACGTCAATGAAATTATCTGTACAGTTTTTTTCGGAACGGTCAATGATACTGTATATCAATTCTCGTCATTTTTAAAAATGGAATTTGCACCGTTGATTTGATTTTGAATAAATGATGATCAGTCTTAATTACTTTATTGCGAAAATAAGAAGTCGCCAATAGCTTTGTCGTTCGTTAGTTCAAAATCATTCGCGTTTCAAAATTTGAGCCTGATTGCATTCAATTGTAAGGGCGTGAAGACTTAGGTCAAAATTTCAGGGTTTCATTTATTTTTCATAGACGTCAGGAGGAGTGGACAGCTGTGACCGCCTGTGCTGTGACCGCGGCTACACCAGCAGCCAGCAGCTGGTGCAGGAGAGATGCTCATGCAAGTTCCACTGGTGCTGCTACGTCGAGTGTCGCACCTGCCTGAAGGAGGTCACTGTGCACACCTGCAATTGAAATTTCTCTTGCATTGAAAAAATTATTGCTTTTGAAAATCGAATCGCCTGAGATAACTCTTGAGGAGTTGCTAATTAAAAGTTCTTGGAACACCATAAAGATGCTAGGCGGTGCGTCGATCATACCGTTCATCTGTTGCGACCACTTAGCATCACTCAGAACATAAGTTTTCTGTAATTTTATTGGTTACATTGACTAATTGATTGAAGGCGCACACGAAAAAATTTGAACACCTGTTGTCCACCAATCGTGAGAGACTTGTGACCCGGTCAGTGAGATGCACGGAGGAACAGCTACTTCTATGCATGCTGGATGCTTAGATTTTTATCGACTGAACGTTGATAATCTTTTTTACTTTTGGATCAACGTAAAGATCAGCTTTTGTTGTCAAGTGTACGGAGGTGCACTGCTGCATATAAGGAAGCGTTAAGACGAACCGAAGGTATTTGAACGACGTGGATGTACTTTTTGATGTTAAAAGTACGAATGTAAACATTCACGTTTGTTTGCAACGATCTATAGAACAATCTTAGGCTTGTAAAATCTCTATTTTGAGACCAAAATCGAGTTAAATAATGCAGCTCATGTGCCGTATTTATTGTAGCAACTAACAACGCTTCACACGCGAATGTTGCATTCGGATATTCGTTTATGCAGCCCATCTTGTAAACCACATTTCGGTGTTCTGATAATCATGTCCCCATGACTGAAGTTTTCTTATGAATTTTAAGGATTTGTATTTGTTATTGTAAATTGCAATGTTCTTCTTAAGTACTTATTGCAATTGGCTCGTTAATGAGACTATGTCTTACGAGCATTATTGATACTTAATTAATGTCTCTGTCATTCAAGTTTTTGAAAGCGACATTTTTGTTTCTCTTTGGTCGTTCAAGCGCAAGAAATAATCACACGAAAAATATTTCGTGAGCTTTAGTTTGTTCAGTAGAACTCAACTTGGTGTTTACTTCCTGCTCTAATAACATTAACTTGAATCTCAAAATAGAACTTTTGTGGCACGTTCGTGTAGATACGCAAGTTCTCATGCGTAAGTTCTTATTCAGTACGATGATTTACCAGATAATAATGATGACCTTTTGCCTTTCCGGAACTCAGGACAATGTCAACGCGTATACGAAATTTGCCTCATAAATGTATATTTCTTTTTCTGAATAACCATTTTATTCATGAAGATGTGAATGAGATGCAGCATCGTACGCACTAGTTTCTTCTCACTAGATTCATATTTGATCGTTTCGTGTACAGGAATAGTAACAGTTATACTGGATACATTAATTAATTGTCACTTTAGCATAAGACTTATTGCATTTATAGCTGTTTGGATAACGACTGTACAAATTTAATTTTACTTCTCGGAATAAATTGTTAGAAATATGGCAATGAGCCATTTAGATCTGCGAAAAGTAGGATCATAGAATTTAACAAAGTAGAATTACAGATATAATGTATGTTGGGTATTCGTCTTGTATTGAAATTCGCCATTTCCTGAACGGCTTTAGCGGAGAAAAAAATCAACTTAGAATGAAAAGTAATTTCAACGCATATTTGTTTTGAGGACAGACTTCACCTAACTATACATTTTCGAGTCGTAGTGTAGATAGCAATAAGCTGAGATAGCCCATGTCAACTTCGTCCTAGATTACGCTCCATGCCTAAAACCATTAAGCGAAGGCACGTCCGTCCTCCTAATATTGGCTTCTTGATTCTCCTCAAGTCAGTGAGTTCTTGTGGAAGAAAATGATCACATGCTTATCGTTGATGATAAAGTTCACATATCTACACTTCCTATTCAGGCTCCTAAGATTATGCTAATGTGTTTAACACGTACACGGCCAGCAGTTAGAGATCCGTGCAACCGTCATTTGGAGGAGGATTGAATTAACATTATTATGTTAGTGAAGAAAATACACGTGCGCAGACATATATATTTTACGTAGGAACAACACGATAATATCTGCTGTTAAATTGGACACTTCTCATAAAATTATCCTCGATACAATTGTCAACTCACTATTATTATAGGTATATTCGTTCATATCTGTGTAGGGTCTTTGTACATATAAACTGGTCTGAATTATTGTAAGGCAGCTTCCAATCTCTGTCGTAACGATAAAAACTATTTCTATGAGACACGAATATAACTTAGTTAGAATAAACCACTTATTTCATCTTACGCTCTAGTGCTCGTAAACAAACAAGAAGTGTTATCGTATTCCAAATAGGAATTAAGCAGATTCCAAATCTATTGAAAAATGTATTTCACCTTGCAACTCCCCAACTATTTAGTTTCGACTAAATTTCTCTAAAGGTCATTATAAGCCCATGATACATTTTTTGATGCCATTTATCAATTACTTACTTAATAGTATATGTTATAAAATGAACAGGGTCAAAATTTCAAATGTAACAGGCAGCAAATGGCATTTTATTTGTACTTGTAACAAGCAATATCTGTTGAAGTGAATGCCGATCTCCTCCATGGCTCGTTGCATTCTATAAGCTTTGTCTGAAATCTACGCTATCTCACGTATACAGCATGGAGCAAACCTCCTTCATTTATCGTATATTTTTTGGCGCATAAGTTGTGTTTGATGTCTGTAAATATATTATTGCTAGAGTGTAATTAAATTTACTTAGAAAATTTTGTAAATAATCATTCATCTCATTATCTAATTTCGAATATCACTTGCGATTTCTTTGTGCTTTAACGACAAATCGAGCAAACAAAGCGCAGTTTTCTTGCCCTTACAATGCAATCATTACAGTTTTCTTGGTTAGTTCAGGTTCTGGAATAGAAAAAAATTATTTGGACACAAATTATTGTTGTGTACTCAATTGATGCTGATTTATTTTACGAAGGATCGATGTCCTGTGCGTAGGAAATGCTAATATTTGGAAAATCCTAACAGTCGAATTTATTAAAAGCTCCCTTGATGGGAATAAAAAAATGCTCCACGTTATTCCGAAAAGTGTTAAATTACTGCGGTATTTTAACCTCGTCTAACTAAAGCTCTCTTTGATCCGCAAGCCCCAAATTATTTACGCATTCTCGTCTTGTAGGATATAATTTCATAAAGGTCATAAAATTTTGTTAACAATGCATTTTTCGCTTAAAAAATAATATTTGATTATTTTTTGCAACCTGTTCGGTGTTTCTGTTGATCGCTCTTCCTGTGCCGATGCTTAACAACAATGCATTCACAAGCAATTGTGATCGAGGTCCTTCAAGGTTACATAACACCTTAATACCACACATTGGAAATTATTAAGTAAGATCATCTTTTCCATGTGCAATCCGGTAATTTTTAACGAATGGGGCTGATAACGTTTACTGGGCTGATACGTGGCAGCTGCAATTTAATGCTGACAAGTGTACAGTACTTTATCTCGGGAAGTACAATGAACAGGAAGATTGCAGTATGAGAAGACATGGTTTCAACGACAGAGTAATGATTGAAAAGTCTAGTGTGGAAAAAGATCTTGCAGTTCATGTCGACAAGGAGCTGAAATTTTCTAAGCATGTTGAAACGCAAGCTAACACATCCAACAAACTTCTTGGGCAAATCAGACGCTCATACGAGTTCCTAGATGCAAAAGCGATGAAGCAGTTGTTTGTTACTGTAGTGCGCCCGAATCTAGAGTTTGGAAACGTTGTGTGGTCACCGAGATTTGAAAAGGACTCCGAATCGACACCTCAGCGAACTCGCCTGCGAACTGGCCCGCGCACTCGATTACAAAACCTAACTTCATTTTCAACTCAACCAGCCATAAATCCATCAATAATGAATGGATTTCACTCAAATTTAGAAAATAGGTAGATAATATCAATAATTTGTGGACGGAATTATTTCAGATTTTTACATCGCTAACTTTTGTATTAATACGGAAAACCTAACTTCATTTTCAACTCAACCAGCCATAAATCCATTAATAATGAACGGATTTCATTCAAATTTGGCCCAGTGGTTAAAGTACCAAGATTGACGCACTAGAGGCTAGAGAGGCGCGGGTTCGATCCCTGTGCGACAGTTTCTGGTCAGAATCGGCAAGGAGGCCGGGCGGTTAAAGCACAGCAGAATTGTAGCAGTGCGTTGCGAGTTCGAGACCTCGAAATGCTGTGAATGTTCTGCGATGTTAAGAATCGGCGACAGGCCTACGGCCTAATAAACGCTGAAACCGCTATTAAATTTGAAAACTAAGTAGATATTATCAATAATTTCTGGACAGATTTATTTCAGAGTTTATACTAGTTCAACCATGGACATAGCTAACTTGTGTTATGTTATGAATGAATCAAGTTTATTGTTGGAATTTTATGGTGTGTCGATGGATGGAGTGTGAAAAATGTACAAACAGGTCCCAGTTTATCCTGTGTTAAGGAGTGCAGGTTTTTCACGTTTAAAGAGATTAATCATTGTAGAATTTTATTAAAATCAAGCTAATTCGAATAGCAATGCAGTGTAGTTTTTCTATAATTCACAACATTGTGTTTCTTCCGAGATTTAGGAGATGAGTTTCTGGACTCTTTGGTGCGTACCGCGCCTGAGAAGAAACTGCGCGTTTGCGGTACCGACTACCGCTGTACCGCACAATAACTGCCATCTCAAAGGAGGAACTGGTAAGACAGTTGAATATAAAGATAATGTCAAAGTGGAACAGTTGCTGGCTAAACAATATTAGAAATTCAGGGAAGGGCCTCTTCATCAGCTTAATCAAAGGGGAGGTGGGCAATTGGCCATGGGCCCTCAACAAAAATCGAGCCGTGGAGGTGGAGACGGCCCTGGCCAGACTGCGCACTGGTCATGCTGGAGTGAAAGCACACCTAGCCTAGCTCGTTTCAACATGGTTGACAGCCCCTTATGTCCTTGTGGGTCTCCAGAAACCATTCATCACCTGCTGCTGAATTGTCCAATTCATGCCTCTGCTCGTACAAATCTTACTAATGCATTAACTGCACTTAATGTTCCGGTCAATTTAAAGAATCTGCTGGGAGGAGGTCCTTTTTCTGATGTCACCCAGAATGCAATTGTTGACGCAGTTGCTTCCTTTTTAACTTCTACCAATATGCTTCAGGTACTTTGATGATAATTTGTTACTGGCCTAGTCACTAGGTATTCTAACCCTTAGTAGAATAAATTCACCTAACACTTGTGGGAACTAACAACCTAAATTTAAATTCCTTCCCACACTCAACTGAGTGTTTTAATAATGGAAAGAAGAGCACTCTATGCAGTTTTAATAGATTTAGGAATGACTAGTTTATGTAAGTAGGGACTGCCTTTTGTGAGGAGTGCTCTTCTTACCCCACTTTGCCGAGCCTTCCCTAGCCTCAGTCATAACCCCGCCCACAGGAGATTGTGTTTAATTTATTTGTTTTGCAATCAAAAGTTCATCTTTGTTCCTTTCGCTGTCGAGTCCGAAGAAGCTCCAGGCTGCCCCCACCCAGGCTGGACCTTCAGTTAGCATAATGATCTCATGTGTGGCGCAAGTTAGGGCATGGGTGTGGCTGTGACAACTAATACTAGTTTTGAACTAGAATTGTTGAAAAGATAATTTACCTGATGACTGACCGTAGTGGTAGCATCCAAAGTTGTTGGGCCGCCTCTCTGAGGAGGTCCATGTGTATATATAGAGATATGATATGCTGTATAGATATAGATGTTTGTGCATTAGATATGCTTTGCGGCTCTGACTTGTTACTCGGCTCCGCGGCGTTCCTCGGCTTGGTCGTGTTCCGCGGCTCTGCCGTGTTCCACGACCGGGCCGTGTTCTGCGGCCGAGCCGTGGAGTGCGGTGAATGTCGCCATGTCTTGTTCACTTCAACGGGTTTGCCGTCCATGCTGTTATGTTATTGCATTTCATATTGTTTTGTTCTTTTGTTCTAGCATGCTTTTTTTTAATTTTTTTTTCTTATTTCAAATTTTATTTTATTTTTTATTTTTATTTATTTTATTTTATCATTATTTTTTATTTACATATTTTTCTTTTTAATTTTCATTGTTTTTGTTATTTACTGTAATATTTATTTCATTTACTGCTTTATCCTTATTATTTGTCTACGTTTAATTTTTGTATAATTTTATTTTATTCAGTTATTTACAAATATTATTATTATTATTTTATTATTATTTTTTTTTCTTTTTTCCGTGTGTGTGTTATCTCTCTGTTTCAGGTTTTTGTTTTCAGAGCTGTTAAAGCAGTTAGGTACAAATTAAACCCAGTTTAGGCAAGGGGCTTTATGGACTAGTTTCCAGTGCTCCTATAAGAATAAATAAGAGAGAAAGAAAGAACATATATGCTCCTGCATAGCTTCGTCTTGTCTGTTCTTGAAGGCATTCTTACTCGGAGCGTCAACGATGCTGTCAGGGTGGCTGTTCCACATGTCGGTGACTCGAAGTGAGAAGAACTGTTGTGTTACAACGCAGTTTTCTTAGTTTATAGCTGTGGCCCCTGGTGTTTGTTCTGTTTCAAATTCTAGTAATCCTTCTGGGACCTTGTATAAACCGTGGGTATGCTTTTATACTTAAATGAGGTCACCACGCAGACGTCGATAACGGAAGCTTGGAAGCTTCATAATTTTTAATCCTTCTTCATAAGGCTTGCCTTTTAATCCCGGAATTATCCTTGTTGCTCGTCTTTGAACACTCTCGACTACGACTATATTTTCGTCCTTTTCTAGTTTTGGTGACCACACTGCGTTTCGAAACTCTAGGTTCTCATGCACGACAGCGACAAAAAACAGCTTCATCGCTTCGGCATCTGTGTATTCGTAAGAGCGTCTGATCAGTCCAAGTCGTTGAGTGGCTTTATTAATTTGAGCTTCAATATCCTTACAAAATTTCAACTCATTGTCGAGAATAACTCCTAAATCTTTTTCCATTGTCGACTGTAAAGGAATCAGGACCACTAGAGATCCAAGTGAAGCTTGGAAGATCCCAATTTAGGGTTCCAGAGTTAGTCCAGCCAATGGGTCCACCGCCGCTCGAACGCAATCGAACCTTGCCAAGGGAGGTGACAGAAACGCGATAGACTCTTAGACATATACTTGATGTTTGGTAAACTAAGGGAAGGCCCAGATGCAGGAAGGGCTCCGGGATGCAGGTAAGGCCCAGGATGCAGGTATGGCTCCGGGATGCAGGTACGGCTCCGGGATGCAGGTACGGCCCAGGATGCAGTTAAGGCCCAGGATGCAGGTAAGGCTCAGGATGCAGGTAAGGCCCAGGATGCAGGTAAGGCCCAGGATGCAGGTAAGGCCCAGGATGCAAACTCCGGGATGCAGGTAAGACTCCGGGATGCAGGTAAGACTCCGGGATGCAGGTAAAACTCCGGGATGCAGGTAAGACTCCGGGATGCAGGTAAGACTCCGGGATGCAGGTAAGGCTCCGGGATGCAGGTAAGGCTCCGGGATGCAGGTAAGGTAACTCCAGAGCCAGAGTGCCAGTTAGGAGGATGATGAAGATGAGGAGCTGGTACGTTTACTCGTGGATGAATAGCCCTCTGGTGGCCAGTCAGTGGGTCTATCTGTCATAGAATGCATGGGTTAGCAATCGCCGGTCTGGAACATATTCGGGTTTAAATGGAAGGCATGAGAAGAGGAGCCAAGGCGATTACTAGTGAACTAAGTATTGATCGTAGTAACCAAAGTGATCATCTAACTGGATATATTGACAACGACGAGTAAGGCAGGTAAACTACTAGGAATCGAAAATAAGACTTACCAAAGGTGGA